CAGAATAGTTGTACATTAATAGAACTTTTGACAACTATATAACTAATTGCTGCAGCTCTGACACAAATATGAAATAACATTTATGTATGCATAACTGTATCATTTAAGTGAAATAAAAAAATAAAAAAAAAAAAAAAAGATCCAATCATGTAAACGTGTTGGAGGACCAGCTAACACAGAAGTATCAAGTTACCCAAAAAACAAGGTTAAAGCGGGGAGCTGCACATCCCTCCTTCACAACAAAATAGCTACGTGGGCGACAAATTGTTAGAAAATTAAGCAGAAACGCTCTCTGGAAGTTATTACAATTTTAAATAAGCCACGACCATTATTAAATAAACTCTGCTGTTATTCTTTTACAATATATAGGTTGCAGCAGCTGACATAAATTTTATTTTGAAAAGCCCACACAGGAGGCAGTTTTAACTCTGGCCACATGACACGTTGCTTTCCACTGAGCATGAAACATGCTTTAAAATGAAGCACGTATTTGAGTTAAAGTCGCGCAAAATGCACGACAGAAACAGTCGCGTTGTGTGATCGGATCTCTATTGTCAAACTGCAGCATGTAGTTCCTTTTTTTTTAAAGCGCTCTTTAGCTTCGCGGACAACTTTCAGTTTTGGTGCAAGCGGGTTTCGGTGATGACAGCCCTCTCAATCGTTGTATGATTGCCACGTAACACATCTACGCGTAAACTAAGCGCGTCCAGGGTGTTGCAGAAATAACGCAGCCGTCGAGATGCTACAGCTACAGCGTTGCAAACTTGCAACACGCTGAAACATTTACACACAAACACGGTTGCGGATACACAACTTTAAGTTTTTTTATTGAGTTTGTTTTTTCGTCACGCGCACAAACCGCAGGGCCTGAAAAGGAGTCATTTGAAATATCGATTTTAGGATGTGAAGCCGCCAGATGGAAAGTAAACTCGAGCTTCCACTTTAATAGAGGGGATATATTTACGATAACGCCTGGCTGCTTGGTTGAGTTCATCAAGGCGCAGAATAAAAAGCAAACGCGACGCCACGGCGCACAGAAAACTTTCGATCACGAGAGGAAGTAGAGTGAAGAATGGATCAGACAGCCATGTCAGTTTCCAGGAGAACAGATTGGGAGTATTCGGCAATTCTGTCCACCAGCTGTCGGTCCGCTGTGTCCTCCGAGCATCCCCTCCGACGCACGATCCACTATTAAAACCCATTCAACATGTGGACTTACCTCAAACATCAGCCCGAGGAGGAACACCATAGCAACACAGGAAACAATATCTGCATGGTTCTGGATGACAAACTCATGGCTTAGCACCGGCGGGTTCTTGTTAGTCTTTTTTCGGATCCCCATGTCGACGCAGTTCCGTCAAACTTTTGCTTTACGCAGCGCAAATGCGGCCTTTTCCCCCCTTCTATCAAATAGTACGATATTCTTCTGTTCGCTCAAAGCCCCCCTCCTGCTTCCTACATGCACAGGGCCAGGCAGCAATTGAATGGCGTGTCACCCTTCTGCTAGTGGGAGGGTCCACAGAGCGAGCCGCTGCGATTGACCAACGAGGCTCTTTACGCACAGGAGAGGAAACAGCTGGGGCTCTCTGTCGCTGCCTAGAGGTTTGGAGTGTAAGGAGTAGTTCAGTGCCTGCAGATAGCAACTCTGCTTTCAACTATATCTGGCACTCAGGCTCAGATTCTGGAGTTACAGGGCCAAGCTACAGCCTCAGAAAGTCTAGTTTCCAAATGCAAATTGCAAAATTATGGAGCAACTTTCTTATATTTCATCAAGAGCAAGTCTTTCAATTTGCAAGCATTGCCTCTTCATTTTATGTTCCAATTTTGTCATATCTCCCCTCCAAACTTCACCCTCTCTTTCCAGTAGCCGCTGCTCAGGTGCAAAACTGCTCTTTTCCTGGTCAGAACTGTCCTCGGCTGCATCCCCTCACGCTCAGACTGCTTCTGTGCACTCACAAAACTTCTGTTCTCAGATTTGTGCTCTCGCTCTCACGTAAAACATCCCCGTTAAGAAATGTCATAAGAAGCAAAGCAAGCACACCTGCAAGGAGGAGTTTGTTGGCCAATGTCATACCAAGAATTTAAGTGGTAGGGGGCATCTGACAGGGACCAGACACCAGATGTTTTGTGAGTGCACAGAAGCAGCCTAAATGTGCACTTAAACTAAAGCACAGGACATTTGTGAGAATATCTCAGTGAGACAGTTTGTGAGCAGAAGCAGAGCAGATTTGCACTGGGCAGGGTTTAGAGAGCGAGCACTACAAAATTTGAAAGTAAAATGAAAAAATAATGCTTGCAAATTGAAATACCATGCTCTTGACTAAAGACAGGAAAATGAGGCTTTACCGATTGAACAAGGCTGCTTTACCAGCTGGTTCTTGTTTCCACTTTGTGACACTTCCTCTGTGGTGGTGTTTTGTCTTGTCCTGTGTCAAAATCTAGATTTAATACCTGTACTTTTTTTTTATATAATACTATGGTGCACACTCCTGTATCAACCTATGTTTAAAGAAATTGTTCAACAATTTTAAAAATGTGCTCATATATTGCCAAGATTCAAACAAAAAACTCTATACCACTTTCATATCTGTCTTTTAAACATGAAGACAGCCAGTTGCTGATTAGCGTAGCCTCAAGAGAAGCTGGAAACAGGGAGGAACAGCTACCCTGGCTGCCCTGAAAGACAACAAAATCAGTCTCCAGCTACTCCACTCTCTAATTAACACGTTACATCTAATTTATTTTTCAGCACAACAAACAAAGGGAAGTAAAATTTGTAGTTTCCCAGAGGTTTATGTAGCCCACAGGACTACTCTTTGATCCTCTTTAACCCTCATGTTGTGTTCATTTGTGTTAAACAGTTTTGTGTTCCAGGTCAAAAATGACTGTTCCATTAAGACTTATCATAAAAACTGTATTATTGCATATTGTATCACTATTTGTTGTGTTACTTTTTTTTTTAAAAACTCAAGTTCTTGTGAACATTACAAGTTTTGAACTTCTATTTGTTATGTATGGCCTCTAGGCCTCGTGTATCTGATAATACACATCTTGAGTTCTAAAAAAAACATCATTTCTGGATTATTTTGACTACAAGAATAAATCAGATAAAACATAATATATTGTCTATCACAGACTAGTCTGGGTCAAAGTTACCAGGGACATTTGTTTTGAAAACATTAACATCTTTATACAGTCACACAAAGTAACACCTGTTGTGTCATCTGTTGTGTTACTGGTCACTTTTGACTGGGAAGATTTTAATTGTGTACAAAGAAAATTTTCCCCAAAACTTGTCAATTTCACAACATCCCAAGATCATTAACTTAATACATTTAAGAACAACTAACAAGAACAATAACATTACAGTGTTCATGCATTGGGGGTTGGTGGTTAGTACCGTAACCTCATAGCTAGAAGATCCCCAGTTTGCGCCCCAGTTAGGACACCTGGGATCTTTCTGCGTGGAGTTTACATGTTCTCCCCATGCAGTGTGGGTTCTCTCCGGGTTCTCCATCTTCCTCCCACACAGTCCAAAAACATATTGAGGTTAATTGGTGATTCTTAATTGTTCATAGGTGTGACTGTGAGTGTGCTTGTTTGTCTCCCTGAGATAGACTGGTGACCTGTCCAGATGAACCTGCCTTTGCCCTGAGTCAGCTGGGATAGGCTCCATCGACTCAAGTGAAGTGGTGCATAGATAAGATATCAGACATGTTTAGGCCTGATAACAGAAAAACAAAATCAGGCTTCTGAACTTGGAGTGGGTTAACGCAAACTTCAATGGGGTTTTTTCTCATACACATGTTAGACAATATGTGCAGGTTGTTGCATGTGCCTTGTACATATATGAATTGCATTTATGGCACATTATGCTTGTTTTCATGTCTCTTGGCACACATAGACTGCATCTCTTCCTTTTGTCACTTCTTGCTTGTAACAAGTGATTTTGCTTCTCGGCCTTGCATCTCTCTCTGCAGTGTCTGGTGTTCGTGGAAGGTGTTGGCATTGTTGCATGTGGGGTGCCAGCATGGCTTTCTCCAACTCCTCCAGGAAAAGACTCCTCTTGAAATTCCCCCTAGATTCACCTCCATCCACACCACGGTCTGGAGTATATTCTGTATCGTCTTCATCTTCTGACACTTCCTCCTCTAATCTGTCCTCACTGTCAGTTTCCTGGCCTCTCTCCTCCTCACCAGTGTGGTGATCAAATACGTGATCAAGAGCCTCACGTCCCATGGCGTTACCACACAATGAACTGCACGCAAGGCCATGAAAAGGTCTTATATACCAAAACTATAACAAAAGTAAATAGTATTGAAACTATGTCGTAACTGTCCGTGAGACCTGCCAACAGGTGTTGTCCTGTGGGTGAGAGACTCTACCGGGCAAAGGTTGCCATAGTGGTTGCCAGGAAATCCAAGGTGCATGTGTGTGTGTGTGTGTGTGTGTGTGTGTGTGTGTGTGTGTGTGTGTGTGTGTGAGGATTGTGATTGTAATTCCTAATTTAGACTTTCATATTCCTTCTTTTAGAGTTTTTTTAAGTTTGTAATGTCCCCCTTTTGGAAATCATGACGCTCAACAGGGTTGTTCAGGTGAAATGATTCACACACTTCCAGCAATCACCTCGATTACGGGAATGTCAGTGAGTGAGGCATTATCCCAGTTCGCATTTAAAAGACACACCCGTTTTCATTCAGGAATTTTCATTTGGAAAATGAAAGTATGTGTTTGGGAAAATGCAGACTCTTCTCTATCCACTGTTTTTAGACATTTGAAAAATGTCTGCGATATAAAGAATTGAGAACTGTTTTAAGGAAGTACAAAGTGTGTCACCCACAGACCCACACACACACACACACACACACACACACACACACACACACACACACCTACATACATACTGGCAAAGGCTATTACGTAATTATCTCTGTGTCCGTTTTGACCATATAAGTTCAGTGTTGGTTGAGGCGGAGCTTGTCATAAATTTCAGAGAAAGAGAAAGAGAACTGCCACATGCAGAACGGTTCGCTTCTGTGAGTATACACACTTCTCTACCATGAGGAAAATGTACAGGTAAGTTCAAATACTGTTTTTAATTCTGTATGTGTGTGATAGAGTTCTTTATTGTAGCTGTGATCTCAGTAGGATGATGTGCACTGACAACAGTGTGGAATTCTTTAAACAGAATCTAATCAAATTGAGATTTGAAGATCAGCTCAGAACAGTTTAGAAAGCAGCTCTTGGAAAGTACAGAAAGTTACACAGCAATGGATTCATTTTGTGGAGGTGAATTTGCCTTTAAATGTGTCTTTTCACAAGTGGAATCTTTCTAAGTCGTTGATATATTGCGTGATTTAGCAAATAGGTATTTAATGCTGGTCTGTGACAACCAGGATAAAAACACAATGCGTCTTAGGTAAGAGTTCTAATTATATAAGTATGTCATCGCTGTTTACGTCGTCACTGATTATTTCTGTACAACATATCTAAGTGTGCTGTTTATCAGGACTTGATATACTAAACCGTTTATGACAGAAACTGAAGGGCAGGAAAACATGATGCAGTTCCTCACTGCTGTCATTGCATTTCAAATCTTCAGCTAACACAGAGTTTTCTTTTAAATTGTGGTAAACTTGTATATTAACAAACTCTTTGTGCATGTTCATAACAGTGTCTTTGTTTTTTAATTTATTCTTTTTTTTTTTATTGCTAACAATGTTTGTTTCTATTATTTTTACAGATTGACCAAAGCGGCTCCTGAACGGCTGGAAAACGTCCACAGCAGCTTTTGTCAAGAAACTTCAAAGCAAAACTGAGCACAAAGAATTTTCTATCTTCACTGGCTTACCTTTTTAATTGATGATATGATGGCTCAGTCAGACGGACAGTACTCCAGACGGCGATGGTTATTCACCATTCTCGGACTCTTCTTGTATGTGTTTGACATATGGACGGACATTGGACTGGCTCTGAAATATTTCCAAGAAGGTCACTATCTGTGGAGTGGACTGACTGTAATGTTTGTTCTGACTGGGCTGCTGGTAACCCAGGTCTTTAGCTGTGCCTGGTACTGGGACGACATGAGTGATGCTCTCACCTACCCAGAGAGAGAAACAACCATACAAGGCCTGTCAAAATGTGAACTTGCTGTCCTGCATGTGTGCGGAATAGGCATCTTCACCAGGTATGTAATGAAAATGACAACTCTGATAAGATCACAGCTGCTTAACACTTGCTATCTGTCAACTAACATGAGCTGCTTGTGTAACAAGGAGTGCCTGCACGCTGTTGCTCAAAACGTGCAGCATGCACAACAGCATGGTGTTTTGGAATGTGCAAACGAGAATGACCACATTCAAGCCATCATGTATTGCATGACTTCAGGAACAAGATGTACACATGCATCACTGTCTGTGCAGCAGCAAAGCAAAGTAATTCTTCAGAAATGTTTTGCATAGTGGCAGCCAGTCTGACTTTGTTTCTGTTGTGCTTTGCCTGTTGCTAGATATTATCTCCTGCTGAAGAAAGGCATCGACGTGATTTGGAGACCAACAAATGCTGATACAAATGAAGAAAAAGAAGTTGAGCACAAGAAACTGTTCTGTATGGCGACTGATCTGAGCATGTTGAAACTGTTTGAGGCTTTCCTGGAGAATGTTCCCCAGCTGCTTCTACAGATCTACATATTACTAGGCCACGACAAGGGCTCAGCCATGCAGTGTAAGTAGAGGTGGAAGGTGATTTGCATGTTCACAAATGTACAGAATCATTATTTATACCACCTGTCCTTTTCTTTCAGATTTATCCATGGCCTTCTCCTTCTTCAGTGCTGCCTGGGCATTGGTGGACTATCGCTGCTGCATGCGCAGGTCTCATCCCGACATCAGAGAGATGTCCTCTGGCCTCCCCACAGCCATCTACCTCCTTTACAAAGTCTGTACCATTACCAGCCACATTCTCAGCTACAGCCTCCTCCTCATATTAAGCATCTACAGCACAATAGCCCTCACTGTCATCTGGCTGCTGGGAACAACATGGACACACTTCCTTGGAACCGACTTCTGCAAATCCAGGAGCCTTGAAATGCTCTACCGGGCAGTCATAGGAGTCATCCTCATGTTCACCTTTTTCAACGTGAAAGGACAGAACACAAAAGGAGAAATGACCTTCTATTACTTTTTCTACTCTGTTGTAAATGTTGCCGCCCCAATATTGTTGGTTTTTTTGAAGCCAGGACTGGAGGCAAGCACATTTCTGCTGGTAGTCATTGGTTTAATCTTTGGCGGGTCAGTACTAGGACTGGTGTGTCTCGTGATGTACTACCTCTTCCTGCACCCCAAAAGGGAGTCGGATGAAGTGGACTTTGCCTCTCCCGGGGTGGTAAAGGAAACAGAAGCAACGGAAACAGTAGCAATGGAGAGAGTAAGGAACTTCTTGCAACCTTGATAAAGGTTCTTGTGAACCATTTCCACGGCATATGACAGTGAGAGGACACAGAAATACATGCACAGGTTGTGAATATGAAACTACCAGTTTGACAGGTAAAAGACACAGAGGGAGATGTCATCTTGATAGTGTGCTTGCAAGTCGCTGATGCTGTTGTCAGGTTTTTTCCTGTATTTGGAGGCAAAGCTTTCATTCTCAGTATTAATGTCAATAGACAACTAAACAATTAATTGCAACATATTTCAATATTTAAAATAACTTTACATATATATATTTCTTACTTATTTATTTATTCCTATTATATGTAATAATGTGCAAATCTTAATGGAAGCTGAAAACACCTCTTGATATTGCTCAACAATATTATAACATCGTCAAATAAAAAAATAAAAAATGCAATGGTTGTTTTTGTGTTGTATTATCCCTACAGCAAGATGCCAAAAATATAGGATGCAGAACGGCAATTTGATCTTGTTTTGCATCTTGCAATGTGTCAGATCACCAGTCTTGACATTTACAGCCTGTTGTTATCAACAGTTAGACAGCTCAGTCAAACTCTAGTTGTATCTCAATAATGGCACCTTGTAGTATTTTGTGTGTCTGCAGCACTGAAGGTTATATTTTCAAGACTGCAGTTATAGGGCCACGTTTCTAGGACCCTTGCTTTTTGCAGCAGCACTGCCTGTTGAATTGGAAAAGCTAAGGGAGCAGCACATATTGATGCAAGGATCACAAGATGAGTGGCAGTTGTAGCGAGATGACTAAGTGTGAATCAAGTTTGATTTGTTTAACATTGAAATCATTTAAATGAGGTGTCTGGTAAACCTTGAAATTATGCTGATTATGCACAATTTGCTCAACATGCAACTCTTAGCAGCCAAGTTAAACATGCAGGGCAGAAAGTAGTATTTGGGAGCAATAAACCTTTAAAAACTGTAAATTGTTATTTAAAAATGACTGTTTGAGTGGAATAGTGATTTGAAACTGTAAGTACTTGTACAGAAAGTCACATTTGTGCACATTTTAGTTATCACCCTTATCAATAGGTTATGATGTTGTGAAAGACAAGGGCCCTAAAAGTGTGGTCCTGAAACTGCAGCCTATACTACACTATACTATACTACTTCTACAACCTAAACTGCAACCCATTATCTTCCTGGTAAAAGTGACATCCGGTGCTGCTGGGTTTTTTTTTCATTTTTATTGGAGCTATTTGGTTTGGTGGCAAGCGTACTAATTAAAGGCATTTTCACCATTTAACTTACAAAAACATCAGAAAACAGTAAGAAAAGTCCATCATTAACTCTCAAATCCCAAACTGGCACCTTATAATACATTCTGCTCAACAGTCCAGAACCCAAACTGTTAAGTGTGTTGCCATAAAAAGAACCTAGAAACACTTTTTGGGGCTTATAATGTACTTAAACAACAAGCCTCCCTTACTGTAGACACATAATATTGACTATTTGTTTGTAGGGACAGATATTTTGCATCAATCTGTAGTGCACATGCTCAACACAGGATGGCGCCATTCTCTAGGTTGACTTTTCAAGGTAGCAGCGAGGTCCAGTGCTGCTGTGGGCCCAGTAGACTGTATGTGTGGGCCACATTAACCAAACTTGTAGTCAGAAAACATTGCATTTCCAGGTCAATAATTTTCTCATTACTCTTATTTCATCTACTCCAACATTGTCAATTTCCAGATAATCTTATAATACTTAAGTGCTTTTTTTATTCGTAATCTCCTTCTACTCTATTGATTCACGTAACTCCTTAATTGTATTATTGAGTCCTTTGTGGTTGACACGTTAATGCTGTTAATTGCTTTTTTAAACTCGCTCCCCTCAGAGTGTTTCTTTAGCTTCATGGTAATGAAAAATGATAACAAAAATGCTTAACTGATCCCTATTAAAGACGAGGATCAGATGCAGTTTAAGAAGACTTGGAAAGGATTCAAGCTCTCGCTCGGCGCTGGACAGATGTTCACAAACACAGATGTAAATCTCCCGTTCAGTGGAAATCCTCAGTCACCTGAAACGAAACTAGAAGTATCAGCCGCTACTGCTACCCTTCCCATCCTAATATGTAGAAAGTAAAAGGATGCAACTAAACATTCCCCTCCTCCTCCTCAGAGCGGACGAAGACAGGGGTCACAGATGAGCTAACTAGAAATAACAAACCAGTGCTAATTTTGTTTTGACTACCAGCAAAATATTGTGTGAGTCAAGCCGGAGAGCTCAGGACACTTTTTCTTCCTGAGGCAGGGGTGAGGGTGGAGGGGTTGGCCCAGTGTGAGCTCACCTGGGAGGAACGCTGACAAACCGCAGGGTCTAGAGAGCACACGGTGGTTGTTGGCACTCAAATAAGCGCAGCCTGCTTCCCCCCCCTCCACCCCTTCCTTTAATTCAGCCAAGCTTTCTGACTTGTTTACTCCAAGAGGCCACTTTAACTTTCATCTATCAGTTGTGCTCTGTCAGAGGCACTCCATAAAATGACAAATTTAAGTGAGGAACTTTTGTTAGGGAGGAAATAAATCACTGCCAGGTAGTTACCACACACAATTCTGTTTTACTGTGGAGCTGCAGCGGACGGAATCTAACAATTCTTATCTATTTGTTCCATGCATGCAGTTAGTTCAAACAGACACAAATGTATAAGTCAGATTATAATTCTAAATAATAACAGCTTACCTCTGAGACCAAAGGAAGGTATTTGCACCTGCCTCATTAGGAAGAAAACAAAATTGCATCATCCTTTGCTTTTAGAATGATGGATGCTCTCCTCTCTGCCCTCTACTGTATATTTCCTTTGGTTCAGCAGACTAATGCAATGTAAACCTGCCAAAGGGACTTTTATTGGGAGAAGACGCATGTGTCCTGGACTGGAGTCCTGAGCAGTCTCTCCCTCTTTTGTTGTCCTTCGCTTTTGTCGAGCTGCACATACTTCTGGCTGTGACTCACCCTCCGATAGCACTGCCAGGGACCAGTCACAAGCCATTGGGATGAAACATGTTGAGTAAAGCATTACCTCCCTCTCTCTAGGAGAAAACAAGCAGAGAGAACTCTGGCGTTGACAACCTCTCTGTAATTTCCACTTCTGGCACTGAGAGCTTAATACCCAGTAATCTCTCACTCTGATCTCACTGAAATGCACCTCCAAAAACGGGTTGGAGAGCTTGGTGAGAATCTGAGAAACTAGAGGCAAATCAAAGATGATGATATGTGAAAGTGCAAGTTTAATCTCGAGTGCACCGCAGGTTGGGATTTTGCGCTAAACGCTGACCACTGAGTGGATCTTATCGAACACGCAACAGGACAAACGTACAAACACAAAGACCTGCAAACTCCCGCTGCCGTCACTGTCAGCAGCTCAGTTATGTCTGATTGAACGGCACTCAGCGTCTACATAAACAGCCTTGACCACTGACCTTTCCATAACCACCTCTAGACTTTGCACCAAATCTTATCTTTTTGTTTTCCATCACCACATCCTGTAACAGCCGGTCAGGAGGGGGACATTCCTGGCGTATACCATCCCCACAATTTGTACAGACACAATAAACCCGGGGAGGCAGGCTGTTTTTCATTAGGGCTTCAAAGTCCATATAAACCATGATTAATGAAGCCCTGAGATGCTGTATGTCTTTAATTATTATGACTTGACTGCCGCACCAGCGCCTCAGATGCATTAGCGAAGTTGGCGATCTGTACATGTCTGCCTGGCTCACTCTGACATGGCAGCTTCGCCTCATACTTGGAGAATTCCCCGAATGTGGAGGAGGGTCGGAGGGGAGTGATAAAACCCCCGTTTCTTGTTTTTTTTTTTTTTTTTTTCTTGCAGTGGCACAGAAATTTCTTTAATCACTGTACATGCACACTTACAAATTAGTTTGGGCAGTGACAGATTGGAGAGCAGGCTGAGGATAATTACATGCAGTGGGCTGGTGTGTGATCAGAGTGTGGCATTGCATTACCCAGAGGGTTCTGTAAATAAAGTGCTCATGCAATGAATGAGGATATTGTATAGTGCATTATGCCGGGTACAATAGCCCTACCATTGTTACTATTTGGATTTCTGCTCCGGAGTAGCTGTTGGCGTTATATGACAAGAGCGGCAACAGGGAAGTTAAGCTATAGGCCGAAGCAGAAAATACTGTAGATGAGGTCAGTTGTGACCATGAATCTGACATAAGGCACCAATTTACCTGCAGTAACTAGTCACATACTGTGGAGAATTAACTTTACAGATACATCTTTGGTCTCTGGGGACCTTTTTGTTTATTCAGATATGTATCAATGTTAATCCAGAGCCCTGTTTGGTTCTGATGTGGCCACCTCTGTTACTCCATGTGAAAAGCTTCTTTTTACGCCTGGGAATCAAACATCCACGGACTTCTACTGCTGCCATCAGAGCAGCTCCTGCAGGTTTAGTGCTACTTTGGACTGAAAACCTGTCGAGTGAAAAAAAAGAGCAGTTTTTCCAGCCGGTTTGTGGATTCTCATTGGAACTTTATACTCTTTTCTATGCATACTAACACATGACGGTATGACTTACTCAGAAAAACAATGGTTTTAAATGGTTTTTCAGAGGACTCTCTGGTTCTTTATCATCACTTGAAGAGCCTTTTTATCAAGGGGATTCTTCTTGTTGTACTTTATGTGGTTCTAAAAAGTACTAAATGTTCATTTCTTTAAAAGTTATTTGGTTTGGTGTCAAGTAATAGCATACAATTAGAGCTACAGCTAACAATATTTTCAATAACAATTAATCATTTAGTTTATAAAACATCAACAAACAGTGAGAAATGGCCATCAACGTTTCTCAAATCCCAAAGCTGACATGTTGTAATTTGTTATTCTGCTTGATCAACAGTCCACAGTCGAAAAAATTAAATGTAATATGATGGAACGGACCCAGAAGTGCATTTTTTGTTCAAAAAATTTTCATCGTCCCTTCATCAAAGTAGAACCAGGTGGATCCCCAAAGAACTATCTCTTCATGGTGCTTAAAGGAACACATTTTTATGTTTCTTTGAGTCACCTTTTTGAAGATATGGTTCTTTGAAGAAGCTCTTGTTTCTTCCATGTAATCAGTAAGTAGAGCTTTTGTGATTCCAGTTAGCACTTTATTTTTTTTTAGCGTAATGCTGTTTGAATGGCCAAAGTAAATCACAAACAGCTATTTGTGACTAAATAAACAGAAAATAAAAACCCTCCAATTATCAAGCCAGTTTCCTACCTCCCACCAAGTCATCGTAGCCCCTTTTCCAGCCCTTCACAAACACACTCTTTAAAGCACTTCAAAGAACTGTTGGAGCGGTGAAACAAAGCGTACTTCCTACTCTGTGTCTTGTCCAGGCGGTGGGACACAGAGACAAAGAGCACAGAGGAAGCTCATTTGTATA